GCTGCTGCCTCTCTCCTTCTCCTTCTCCATTATCGAGTTAAACTCTTTCGTCTTTCTGCAAACAATCGTTATTTTCGGAACATACTTCCGACGCGCAGAAGCAAAATAAGCTGTTTCCACTTTCTCAATAGTCACGCAGCCCTCCTCCTGCAGCAGCGCGGCAGTTCCAATCGCCACCTTCGTCGCCATCCCCAGCCCTGCCCGCAAACCCTAAACCCTAAACCCTAAACCCTAAACCCTCGCCAGAGCCGCCTCCGCAGCGCGCATGCAGCAATGTTCCTTTAGTTTAAACGCCACTCAAAGTCCCTTCCAACTAAACACCTGCTGTTACGCAGAAGGCAGCACGCAGCACACACACGCGCAGAAGAGCAGCAGCAAAAAGAGCCCGGCCAGCAGCAGCAGCAGCAGCTGCTGCTGCAGCCGCTGCTGCGCAGCAGCAGCAGCAAGCTTTGCAGTGTACGTACACCCCAGCTACCCGAGCTTGCCTGAAACCGAAAACTCGTCAAATGCCTCTTTGCCTTCTCTTCCCATCAAAACACGTTTGGCAATGCGGGAATAGAGACGCGGCGTCCGCTCCAGCGAGACCTGCGCGCAGCAGCAGCAGCAGCAGCAGCAGCTGCTGCAGCAGCAGCAGTCGCGGTCCCAGCAGCTGCGCGCTCCGCAGCACACTGCGCGCCGGCGGCGCAGCAGCCGGCGCCCCGGCGGCTGCAGCGGCAGCAGCAGCCGCGGCATTCGTCTCCTCCTTCGCAGCAGCAGCTGCAGCAGCTGCAGCAGCAGCGCGAGCTGGCAGCAGCTGGAAGGCAGCGGGGGGCCCCCGGCGAGCCCTCTGCTGCAGCAGGCAGCCCGCCGGGGGCCCCCGAGGCCCCCATCCCCCGCTGCAGCAGCCGGGACCCAGGGGCCCCCCGAAAGCGCCGCAGCAAACCGGCCAGGGGCAAAACCCGGGAGGGGCGGCGGGGACGCGGAGGCGGGCGGGGAGCGCCGCGGCGCTGCTGCTGCGGCGGCTGCTGCTGCTGCTCCGGCTGCTGCGGCTGCTGCTGCTGCTGCTGCTGCTGCTGCAGCACGGCGAACTCACCAAAATGAAGTTCTCGCTGCGCTCCGGACGGGCCGAAGAAACCGCCGTCTGCGCGGGCGTGGTGCTGGTCGTCTCTGCCGCGCTGCCGAGGACCTCCGCTGGCTCCATGTTGAGGGGGTGGGGGTCCTTGGGAGAATAAAGTGGAAAGAAAGGAATTAGATTTTGTTGCACGGACTAAAGAGCTGCAACCCTTCAAACTGCAGCCGCCTGTCTGCGCCACGCAAAGCAGCATGCGCCGGCTGCTGCTGCTGCTGCTGCTGCAGCTGCTGCTGCGGCAACGACGCTCCCGCAGCCGCGGACGCTCCCACGTCGCTTTCCTACCCTACCTCTTCTCCCCTTATTCAACACCTCCCCAAACACTTTCCAACAAATCCAACTCAAAAATATAAATGCTGCGGTACACAACTGCGGCGTCGCGCGAACGCAGCACTGCCTGGGGTGTACGTACACCGTAGAAGCCCCTCACGCGTTCGTGCGCAGCAAAGCAGCAACGCGTCCCTCTGTCTTCATTTGTAATTAAATTGTCCATTTTAATTTGAAAACTATTTAATTTATGTATTTTCGTTTCTGTGTGAGCGCTTTCAAAAGACCAGCTGCTGCTCCGGCGCTGCTGCCCGCCGCTGCTCCCACCGCGCCCCAGTGTGCTTGCCTTCTACTTTGAGATTTCCTATTGCGTTTCTTGCCTATTTACTTCTTCATATCTCTTTGTTTCCATCTTAATGCAAACAGCAAACGCTGCGGCTTCTCTAAGCCCCTGCAGCACTCCCGGAAGCCGCATGCGCTCAACAAATCCCACTTTTCTGCACTTTTCCCTATTCGCGCTGCTGCTGCTGCTGCTTCTGCTGCTGCTTCTGCTGCTCCTTTTGCTGCAGCCCAGCCGGGATAGCTGGTGGGGTTGGAAACGGCGAGGGACAGCTTTGCGTCTTGCCCTTATTTGGTTTTTCTGTGTCTTCTAATGCACTGAATGCATGCGGAACAAACACACCACAATAGTGCACAGAATGAACTCCTGCATGCACCCAAATGCCTATTTATAGATTTCAACTTCTTCTCTTTGTATGCAAAATTTGAGCTGCATGCGTTTAGCCCGAAGGTCTGCAGCGCACTTCGCCCAGCTTTCCCTCTAGAGCATTTAGCAAATAGCCTTTGAAGAAACTGCACGAATTTCCGTGCAAAAAAGTCTTGTGCGCATGCATGCACTGCGCATGCATACGGTGCACGTGCATGCGCTGCGCATGCACGCTCTGCGCATGCATGCGCTGCAGCAACAAAGGCGGTGCTGTGCATGCGCAGCTTGTGGGGCCCCAGGCCCCTCTTTTGCTGCTGCTGCCGGCCCCGGTCGCTCTTCTTTTGCAGCAGCAAAGATGCATGCACGCAGTGCTGCAACAGTATGCTTATCTATGAAAGATAAAGTATATATAAGTATATGTACATGCATATATCATGCAGATATATATATATATATATATGGAAAATATATATATTTAAGTATAGATATATATATATGTATATATATTATACATATATGTATACATTTAGTTTTATGGAATTGTATGTACAAGCGAACTTAGGACTTTTTCACTTTTTCATCTTTTCTGGAAGTTCCCAAGCTGGCTGCAGTGTTCGTTTTCCTTCTGTGGCAGATCAAGACAGCCACAAATGCAAAAAGGGATATTTAGGAATTTTGCAATTAAATAAATCTATTTAAACGATTTTAAGGAATTTTTTCATTTAAATAAATCTATTTACATGCCTTTTATGTAACTGCGGCTCCTTTGTGCATTCCTGCCAATGTCAATGCCATGAAGTACTCGAAATTTTGGTTGCTGCAGCAGCAAATGTAATTTTGTTAGTGTATGCATGCATACACGCATGCATGCGTGCATGCAGAATGCATGCATGCATGCATGCATGCACCCATGCATGCAGAATACTTCCTTTCTGCATGTGCGACTGTAAAGCCATTTGTTCTTACTCTGTACTTCGGTATACCCATTTATCAATATATCTGGTATATTAGTCTATATATGTAATCTATATCTATAGTGTATATATATATATATAGATATATATATATATATATATAGATACATATATATATTACATATTCAGCAGCAGCAGCACATTGAATGGTTGGCGGGCGTTTAGCTCAGACGCGTTGACTGTAAATCGATATGAAGGGCCGGGGTGTCTATACACTCCAGCGCAGCCGCTTTTGCATGCAGCAGCAGACTTGGCTTCAGGTGTCTATACACCCCGCGCCTGCTGCTGCCCCACATCTGCGTAAACCCCTTTAAACACATTATTTTAGAAGATAATACAAAATTATAAATGTAAAAGTTAATAAAATAGTATTTATTTTTAATATATAAAGTATTATTCAATTAGTCTTTATTTACGTCATAACGTGAAAGAAAGCAGTTTATTTTAATTTAATTTTAGTCACTTTTATTTCCTTGCTCCTGACTGCAGCAAACAAAGCTGCAGAGGCAGCAGCAGCAGCAGCAGCTTAAGCAGCTGCAGGGGAGCAGCAGCAGCGCGGGGAGCCATGGCTAGCTAGCAGTTAGCCACAGCTAGCTGCCCCAGCTAGCTGCAGCTAGCTAAGGCTAGCTGCAGCTAGCCAGAGCTAGCCACAGCTGCAGCAGCTAGCTGTGGGGGCTAGCTGCGCCCTTCTGTTCCTGGCTTCTGTAAAGTAACATTTTAGGAATTTGTAGCTTTATAAATATAATAATATTATAATAAAGATTTAAGATTTATTTATATTCTTTTATTTATATTTATATTACACAAGTGCCCTTATATATAAAAAGGAAATTTATTTATATTATGGTGCTGCCATTTTTATGCATAAGTTGCTATACAATAAAAGATTTATATTTATATATTATAATCTAAGATTTATATTTATATATTATAAAAGTGCCATTATATGGATATGTGGCAATATAATATGCTCTTTTAATGCAAATAGATAAGTCACACATTTGTTCATCAGATGAAATATATATATATATATTTCATCTGATGAACAATATATATATATATATATATATATATATATATATATATATATATATATAGGAGGAACACAAATATGTGGGTCCCCCGGGGGGCCCCCGAGGGGCCCCCTGGGGGACCCTCCAGCAGCAGAGCTGTGCCTTTGGCTTCATATTGCAGGGACCCCCACAGGGGGGCCCCCCGGCCACCAGCAGCCCAGAGGGCCCACCTGTGGGGCTATCTGCCCAATCGAAAGTGGAGAGGCACTACCTGCTGCTGCTGCATGCAGCCCGTAGAGCGAATCGCATGCAGCCCCGTGTGGGGCCCGCCTTTGCTGTTGTTTGCTGCGCAAATATGAAGCAGTTCTCTTTATTTGTTTATTACTAGTTCTCTTTATTTGTTTATAAATTCATTTATTTATTGAAGCAATTCAAGAAAGAAATTTAAAAGCACTCTTACCTGAAGAATTCAAAAGTCCCAAAACGCTGCATGCAAACTCAATCATATTTATCCCCTGTGCAGACCTTTAGCTGCACACTAATTAATATTCTATAATGTATAATTATATATCAATATATTTGTAATATTTACTCTGCATGCACACCAAACTCTATTGCATGATCTCCACATGCAAAACAGCCCCGTGGGGCCTCAGCAGCAGCAGCAGCTGCATGCATGCACTCTTTGCAGCAAATAGTTGAAGTGCCCTCAGTGAGCTTCGTGCTCCGCCCATAGAAGCTGCAGCAGCAGCAGTAGCAGCTGCAGCAGCAGTAGACGCGCGAAGAGCTAGGGGCCCCGCACAAGTGCATGCATGCATGCATGCGTGCTGCCTATACCCGAATCCCTATCGAAGTGCATGCATGCATGCATGCATGCATGCATGCATGCATGCATGCACGCTTGATTGCCAATGTCACAGGTCCTGCCAGAGTGTGGGGCGACGTTGCCTACACAGCAGCAGCAGCAGCAGTAATCAGCGGCAGCAGCAGTAACCAGCAGCAGCGGCAAGCTTCCCTACTTCTTAGGTGTGTCCCGTGTCTCTCTGTCTGTCCTGGCTGCTGCTGCAGCAGCAGCAGCAGCAGGACACCTGCAGCAGCAGCCCTTTAAGCCGCAAGAGGGCTACAGGTTAAGCCCGGAGGGCCCCTGGGCGCCCCAGAGGGGGAACCCAGAGGAGATTGTGGTGGCTAGCTGCGTCCCTGCTGCTGCTGCTGCTGCTGCCGCTGCTGCTGCAGCTGCTGAGCTGCGCAGCAAGGGGAAGGCAAGGGAAAGCTTTACCAAGCGCATTTGTGCATTTGCAGCTGTGCTGCTGCTGCTGCTGCGCCGCAGTTGCAGCGCTGCAGCTGCCGCGCTGCTGCTGTTGCTGCTGCTGCGCTGCTGCAGCTGCTGCTGCCGGGAGACAGCGGATGCAGCTGCAGCAGCTGCCAGCAGCGCAGAATTGATCTGTACACACACTCCAGAAAACGAAGATGCACTTCTACACCTCAAAAGAACTATTTTTCACAAGTTCATGACACAAAGAAATGCACATTTATTTATTAATAAACATTTTATTAATAAACATAAACACTACTTGAAGCAAAAGGTGACCCTGGAGGCCCCCGGGGCCCCACAGCCAAATGTGTAAGACCCTGTGGGGCATGCAGCCCCACAAAAGCCAGGGCCTTTAAGAATTCATAATTTTGTTTCTGCTGCTGAAAGTGTCAAATCCAAGTTGCTTTCTAAGGGCTGGTGGCCGGCAGGCAGCCTTTGCTGCAGCAGCAGCTGCTGCTGCTGCCGCCGAACTGCTGGTGCCCGAACCGCTGCTGCAGCAGCGCTCAAAGCAGCAGCAGCAGCAGCACTGCCGCAGCAGCAGCAGCACTGCTGCAGCCTGCAGCTGCGCCGCAAAAAGGGGAAGGCAGCAGGTCTTGTGAGGCCACTCAACAAGCCAATTCAGGTTCTACAGGGTAGGGCCTCCAGGGGCCCCCCTAGGGGCCCCCCAGGCCCCTTCGGGGGGCCCCTGGGGCCTGGGGGCCCCTCTGGGGGCCCCCTGGGGGGCCTCAGGGCTTCAGGTTCCCAGCCAGCGCAGCAGAAATCTTCGCTGCTGCTGCCTTTGCTGCTTCTGCTGCTGCTAT